AAAAAAAAAATTTTTTTTTTAGTATTGGGGGGGGTCTGACCCCCCCCCCCCCCCCCCCACCCATGATTTAAGGTCTCTAAAAGCAATTGTCAAGATCCTCTCCCACTAACCAAAAAGGATTATGCCTTGATATATGAAGTGAACGTTCACAAGGACGAGTTTTATGTTTAATTTTTATGTTAAGATTTCGCAGAGTTAAATACTACAATAGCGGGTACCTGGTTCCCGTGGGGGATACGTACATTCCCACGAAGTTTGAGCAAAAAAAGAAAGAAAGAAGTTTTCTGTCATGAATGCTTGATGCCCTTTAATACCTGATAATAATGCGATTACCTTTTCCGTGTAATAGTAATTTCGAAATTACTTTATCGTCTAAACACATACAGTACGATAAAAATAAAACGCATAGGAAACTCAGAGCCGCTAAACCATTATCACATTGCTCCTATAGCCTATACTGTAAACAAGATTTGTATAAACATCATATATGATTGACCATGAAGTAGTAATATTTTATTCTATAACAGTCCCGCATTGCATAATAGCCAGCAGAACAGCAGTAGACGCTCCAGATATGAATGTTCTGTGATTGGATGATATGAGCTGGTCGGTTGCGTGACCATGTGCTTTTGTTTTAACCCGAGAAGGTCAGGGGGAAACGTAATTGTGGTTTGGCGTTTTGGAAATTGACACAGGTATGGCGTCAGATGAGTTCCGCTTGTAAAATAAGCCTAATGGTTTAAGGTTATACGGAGTAGGTTTTTAGAAATGTTACAGTTAACTGTAAGGCACGCTTCTGGTCATTTAATTACAGCGAAGTGCAAGATTTGTAAAGATGTGTGGTGATTTGCTTTGCGTGTTTCAGAATAGCCGCTGAATTGATATGATTGTAATAAAAACGGTTTTGTACAAACATCAGATAAGCTGCATGCTTTCTTAAATACATAATACATAAGACGCCTATCTTAGTTGCCGACGTAGAAGATGCATATCATTAATCCTCGAAAGAAACAGGCCACTGTGAGCGCAGTGACAGCACGTGTAACCGGAGCCGGGCTCTCGCGCAGGAGGGTCTCCGGTGTCCCTACCTGCGTGTCAAAAGCGCCGCTTAAGTTTCAGTCTTTGTATGGCTTCGCAGTTTCCTTTGGGATCAGCTAATGAGCTGTACCAGTGACACACGTCAATGCGGAAAACTTAATGACAGAGACTTCGTGCTTGTGCAGAGATTGTACAGAAGCATATCGATTTCTCGCGCTGTTTTAAATTATAAGGTGATTCCATTGTTATAAGTAATTTATATCGGGCCTAATAAATTAAGATTTATGGCATATAACTTGTATACGTCATCTAAATTAGACATAAAAATCTGAGCTTATCCCATTTGATTTTTTTTTACTACAAATGCTCTAACAGGTAAAAATACTTATCAGTTAACGAGATTAAATTAAGTATCGCATTATTATCATTTTTAACTCGGCCATTTAAAAAACAAAAAAAACAAAACAATATATAGGCTTAGCTTTGATGTTCTTGGTAGTATTTACAGCTCCAACACGTCCCCATAAAGGTTTCGCTATGTTTCACGTCACACGGAGAGCATAAAATTAAATAATTTATCTTTGATTAGTTTTAATTAGAGATTATCTGGAATTAAAAAATGCACATAATGAACCCAGTACCAGGTATAACAATGACTGAACTTCTGTGCTAAGTACTGCTCATTCTAATCGTTAAATTGTATATGTTCATTTTTTTCAAAACGCAGGACATAAACATGACTGAAAAAACAGTGCTGCAAGCTAGTATACATGTAGATGATGCTGATTGTGGTGTGCTGCTTTGGATCGGGTTTCCATGCTGAGAAACACGATACTGGCCAGACTGTGGCTGGAGAAGCTGGCCTGTGGTTTCCCATTGCCCATCCCAATGGCCAGTGCAGGAATTCAAGCCATTGCTGCTGATACCGGCCACAAAGGGGTATCCTCCTTTGCTACGGGAGACTCTGCATACTCACACCAGCCCCAGGGGGACAAACAAGCCTGTCTCAAACACCCCCCAAACCCCACTGTCTACTGGAAAAGAGGCACGCGGGGAAGACTGGCAGTCATCCTTCAGACTGCCAACAATGGATCAAGTCAGACCTTCTCTTCAGTACCATCAGAACGGTGCACATAACCAAAAAGCCCTCCTTCAGCTGAGGTATGATTCCAGAACTTTTGCAATGGCCCATAATTTATTTAAAAAGCAACATAAATCATATATATGTGCATTTTTCATACAGTGTTGAAGACAATTATTTTAGCTGTTGAAGAAAGTGATGGTGGGGATCGAGTACGGTGTGGTCTGAGCTTTGCTCTTCCCCCGAGAAATCGTATTTTGGAGAAGTGTCTACCTATATATACTACTTTTGTATTTGCCCCTAGGGTGAAGACAAGCAGCTGCTTATTTTTTTTTAAATAAAGTTGTCAAACTGATATTAACAATTATTGACATGACATTGTGCCTCGTGTGAGTGCATCATGGTAAAACGCAGTATGTCTATCACTGTGGCAGCAGTCACATCTGCCAGTTACTCCCCATGTTTAATGAGGTTAAGCCGACCCACTTTTAATTTTGATGAAATAGAATCTCGGCTCCGATTGCAAAATAATTGCCTCGGTACCACTTGAATGCGTGATCAGAACAGACACGCTACAACATCGACGTAAAAACATTTTGGTCGGACGAAACACAGCGCCATCCAGCGGTTGTGAATGATTATAGGCTCGTCAACTATGGACGAAACGTCATACCTCGGTATTCAAAAACATAACATTGACCGTATACTGAATTTAAGTGTGAATATGGGTTTCAAGAGAAGCAATTGAAAGTTCAGCTTAAAAACTCGCGTGGTCTTTGTTTATTTACGTCCTTACTACAATTGTAGTAACTGCATCTGTAGAATAACAATATTACTTCGGAACACATGCGACAATAAAACCTGAAAATACAAATTCATTAGTGACAATCATCTCTTTATTCTAAGTCATGAATATTCAGCACTGTTTCCGTGTTTCCTTGTTCATTTTATCGTTGGGTTTCTTTTTATTCTTTTAGAAACCTTCCCAGGGACGTCAACATTCCACAGTATCACGACATGACTTCCACGAAGAAAAGTAACGTTCGCATTAATGACCAACTGTAAGTTGTTTTTCCCTGCCATATGTTTTTACTTTCATTTAATGAAAAATAGATAAAATAGATATTCGAGTGTGCCTCTCTGAATTTGAGCGTTTTGTTATCATTAAGGGTCAAAGCAGCGTTAGCTGCTGGATCGCTGTTGCTTTTGTATACTTGTTTTTTTATGGGAATAGAACAACTGTAGCAAAATATGCGCTGACGCCGCTATACTACTAAACACTAGATGGAGCAGTCTGACCATTTTTATGTCAGAGTGACAAAAGATTCATTCCATTCTAATACTTCAGTACTGGACGTTTTATGTTGGGCGTTTCTTTTTCAGAATCCCAGATCCCACTAAAATTAATATATGGTGAGTATCATCGCTGTGCGACTGTCAGTTTCATTCATTAATTCGGCGAATTGTCTGATCGGCTACGACCCGCGGGCTCAGCTAGGAATGCAGGTGTGATATTTCAAGTTTTCTATACACGACACTGATACTTGGCGCTGGTTGTGCCTCCGCCTAGCATGTGGCAGACCGTTACAAAGCTCATTGGATTGCTTGTTGTTTTCTTTCTTTTTTATGTGGGCTCTTCCTTGCCTCGCTGGCTTGCCTGCTGTGTCGGTACCCTCAGTTCTCAGGGTTCTGTTTACTTTATACTTCAGAGAGCTGGATGACATATTACTGCATATCTGCCAGATTAATGTGCTTCTTTTGTTCAAATATTTTTTCACCGTCTCTCAGACCCCTGTCACTCTCACTTCTCCCCCTCTGTACCGCTCACAGTGAGAAAGTGATAACTGATACGACCCAGAGGCACCACCCATACCAGTCTCATGTCTCCCAGTTCGCGATGTTCCCCAACTTCTGCTTCCCAGTTGATCCAGACACTGATGTCCAAGCTGCGGCAAGATCCCGTCTTAACCCCCTCGTCCCGGCGAGGATTCCAAAAATGACCGTTCTGAGCAAAACCAAGGGTAAGGAGAAGAGACATTGAATATAATTCAAGATTAAGGCATTTTAGTTGCTCGCATACATTAAAATTGAGTCAGATATCAAGCTGGATGTTTCTGCTGTACTTAGGAGCCCCATACCGCCATGAGGTGCTGGAGGGGCCCTCAGACAACAGGACACACGTGCTCACATGTCCAGAACAACAGGGCTTCCACCATGTGAGAAAATCACATATAATTTATTTCAGCAATGCACCTCTATGCATGTGTCCCTTTATTCAATAGTTATGGTGCCCATGTAGATGATTGATGGTGGCCTGATGATCTTCACCGTTCTATCTGTCTTCAATAATTCCAAGTTGAGGCCAGATGAAGGTCAGAAGTTCTACCCGACAGCCCCAAAGGCAATGTGCCCCAACAAATCTCTGTGCCCTCGGGAATTTACATTATGCGAACAGACTGGCAAACTTCTCCAGAACCTGGAGCGGTCATTTCGGGTAACCTCCTACCAGAGGGACTTCACAGGTATGCAGTTTGAGTAAAAATGCCGATCTCACCCCTATCAGAAAATGATTTATAATTCTGCTCATGCCTGCAGCAGAAAAGGCAGGGTTCCCCCATCCCATGACAGATGACCGGTGCAACCATGTACACAAAATATATGACAGCTGTTACAGATATAACAATGTATCGATGGACACAATCTACAGTCATTCTCCCATGGAAACGCATAAAGCTGCAGCTATCTCACCTTGCTAGCAAACAGCCTTAAGCACCCCTTGCCTTATGTAGATGACAGTTAGCACAATTCTGTGTGGTAAGATAAGAAGCAGGGTCCAGTTCACATGCAGTCCCAGGTACACCGATAGATATGACTCAAGTATAGACTAGCAAGATTACGTAACAGCTCATAATACATTCTACTCATGTTACCTCATGGTTATACCTCTTTGCCCTTTAGAATAAAGATCTACATGTAGGGTGGCCTGATCAATTTCATCGTAGCTGTGTTGAAATTTCATATAAAAACAGGGCTGAGAATCCAAAGGAGGAACATTGAAGGTTGTGCATTTGCATGATGCTGTTCTTAGGATGTGGATCCATGAACCCTCGGAAGCTGGATGACTTCCATGAGAGGACGGTCACTGGTGAGACGACCCCCTACTCGCTGCAGCTGGTAGGTCACATGCAACTCTCTCTGAATTATTACGCAATTGAACGAATGTTTCATATGAAAAAATTAAAATATCCAAGTACCCAGATGCATTTTGCTTAATGCAGTGTAGTTGTCATTAATTTACATTTTTGATTGTTTTATACAGTTAGTTATTAGATTAGATTGGATTAGATTAGATTAATTTTTATTGTCTCAAATGACATACTGTAGTTGCTATCGATGAAAACAAACAATAGATAACATAACACATAATACATAATACATGAACATTTGTCATATACAGTACACACACAGCAAATCCAGATACTCAGATTATCATAGAGCCTTCCACATTCCATCTAAAGAACACACACACACACCAAAATATATAGGTAAAAAAACAGGCAATGAACAAACAAACAAACATATAGAGTAATTGCAGCATGGGTTTAAGAATGTATCCAGTCAAGTTAAAATATACTGTTACCAATAAAAGATGCATTTGTTCGTTATAAATAATATTACGAATGGTTCACGAGGCTTTGGCTGACTTAGGTCTTTAATGGACCTGGGAACAAAGGAATTCTGAGAAGTGGAACTACAATATGGATTTGGTAGTGAATTAACTTCAGCTGAAATGATCATTATGAATAACTATAATAGTATAAGTTTGCCTGAGATTTCAGTGCCGCCCATGAGTTCATAGCCTCCCATACAGTGGACATAAGGAGTGGTTGTGTCCTCATAGATGAGAGTGGACCAGACCTTAAACATGGTAGCAACTCATGTATTATGTTGCTTCCGTGGTGATATACAGGTGAACCGAGACTCTACCAGAACAGGTCAAGCAAGAGGAACAGGCAGCACCCAGACCACTGGTTCTGAATCGGAACACGTGAGGAACATACCTCCTGTCTCCAGCCGGATGGAATGCAGGGATTCCCCTTACAGCAAAAAGCAGACCTATGCATTGGACAATCATTCATTTGGCTCGATCCAACCAGCTTCTGCTACTGCAGCTCTGGCAAGGGTTTCCAAGGCAGTGCAGGGGTCTGGGTCTGCAGCAGACCAGGAGACGTGTGGTCAGCCCTGCTCTTCTCCCATTTCCCCCAGTAGGAGGCTAAGGATCAGTCATACCGGCTCCAAATCAGTACTCCTAGACCTACAGGACTCCTTCAGCAAGACAGAAGCACATCGTCGCTCCCACCAGGTCCTGCACAGTAGTCCCTTAGACCTTCAAGACAATGTGTGGAAGGGGAGACAACATTACTTCTATGGTTTCAACTCATACTACTTCCGCAACTGAACGACAGTATCACACTTATTGATACTGAAATAATAATCTGAAAGCTTGAAACCGTTAATTGGCTTTATCATTCGGTGTTTGTTTCACTGAAGTATTTGTTTACTTATTGTTGAAAAGATCTTCATTAAATAGTAGATTTTAAACTGAAATTCAAATGGTATCCTTTAATTTAATATATTCCCACTTGTTTCTTTTCTTTAATATTGAATGTATTAGTAACAAATTAAAGGTGAATTATATTAATCGAATTATCAAAAATATGATTCCTCTAGTTTCAGCAAGGTGCTCTGATTTGCTTTATTCGGTTCATGATACATATTAGTCTAATACTACCCTGAAAATTAAAATGAATCCTACACACATACAATGGTGAACACGTGTCAGGTTACCTTTTCTATTTACCTATTTATTTAGCTTATATTAAACATGCATGCATGCATCTATCCATCCTCTACGGCTTATCTGGATCCAGGTCTGGGGTCAGCAGTCTGAGCAGGGATGCCCACACCTCCTACTCCCTAGCTGCCTCCTTCAGCACCTCCTGGGGGATACTGAGTCAGCCCCGGGGTCTCCTGGTTGGACATGCCCAGCACACCTCCCCAAGGAGGTGTCCAGATGGCATACTAGATAAACGCTCAAACTTCTTCAGTTGGCTCCTTTCGATGTGGAGGAACAGCAGCCGTATCTCAGCCAGAAAAGGAAGCTCATTTCCGCTGCTTATATCCACAATCTCAATCTTTCATTACTACCCAGAGCTCATGAGCATAGGTGAAGGTAAGGAACAAGCAGTAAATCCCTAAAACCTTCCCCTGTGACAAGTAAAACAATTTACTTTTCATTTTGACTCCTACTGAACTACTACAACTTCCTGTCTGAAGAGTTCATTACTTGTCCAATGATAGGACCACCTGAAGTAATTTAACTCTGGGCTGAGAGTGTCTGAGGAAAACCACAGACCAATTCGTTCCAGAAAGTACTTCAGCCTTGTGCACCATCACAGCTCAGTGATTGTACCCCAGCTGATCCTGACATGTCTCCCTCTTGCCTCTTGTTCCCACACATTACTAATCACCTCTTAATTGCTTACTCCATCCCTACGAGATATAACCATACTGCCAGAAATGATTGTCTTATGGATGAGAGGAAGCCGCATCAGCAGCACCTCTGAATTCACATTCACTGGGTGGGTGAATTCACAGTAATTATTGTCAGTCTAAAAACATTTAACATTAAACAGGTTTTCTGGAGAACATCAATAGGCGTGAATAGGTTCCGCTGCAAAGGTACATCATGATCCGTCTTCTTTTGTAATGACGCACAAAGGCTAATTTAAGGGCCCGCAATGAAAAGACGCTCAGTTTTCTTTTTATAATGTAGCAACAAAGAAAAGTAACAGGCCACCTTTTCCGTGTATCATCTAAAAGAATCTTAACATACCCTTGCATTTGGATCACATGTAACAGATATTTGCACATTTCTTAAACTCAGCCCACTGTAATGTGACTTAAGCTGTTTAAACAGAGGATAGATGTGGTCAGAACAAGTGCCCAGCCTAGGTTTTCACTTCAACTTAAATTTCACTTAAGAACAGGTGGCAGTGTGTGACATCACCAAACCAAGAAGGTCACATGTTCACCAAGAATTTCTGTCGTCCTCCAGCAAATGCACCTCCTGCACAGCAGCATCTGCTGTTAGTCTGTTATATTAGCATGTTTATAATTGTCATACACTGGTGATGGTGACATTATATGTTTTGTAAAATATAGATAGGGATTTATTAAAAAGACTTAACAAAGGAGTTCACTTAACATTCTCAAGGCGCCAAGATAATAGGGAGTTTCATATTACGCAAAACACTCCGTTTATGCAGGTACAGGTCAGCCCCCACCCCACCCTGCATTTCTGGTCTTTTCATCATGTGGTTTAAAGACATTCTTATCATAAAAGTGGAGAACTTTCAGGTAAAAAGTAGGACGGAAATACTTGAAGGTTAACAGAATATTCTGGTGGGCAAACAAATATATATAGTACACACACACATGTATTCATGTCTTTGTGGGGACCATCCATACGTTTTTTTTTTTTAATGGGAAAAACCCTAATCTCAACTATCACAACTTTAACCCCTATCCAGCCCTAACCTTAACCGTAAGTAAAGCACTGAGTTTGCAAACCCTACACACTATATACAAGACGATAAAACTTTGACATATGTGTCATGTGTCATTGCGTGTGCAGATTTGTCTCGAATTGAAATTCTCACTGCAGTCAGCTGACCGAAGTCGGCAACCCTGCATTTGGTCATCACAATGTAATATATGCATGGACCACCTCCCTCCCCCCCCAAACACACACACACACACACACACACAAAGAGAAAAAGGACTCAAAGGACAGTTTACATTGAGTTTAAACGGAACTAGGTACAGCTGACGGTAGTGTGGATATCGGCTTCATGATATATTGAGCCAGTAGTTAGCTGTTGTATGATGTATTACAGTTTGTTAATGCCACTTCTCAGCTTAGAGCCCCGATTAACCGATATGGTGGCTGAACTTTATTTTGTCATTGCCTTTACTTTCTTAACCCTTTTGAGACTGGTAACCAGAAATTTCATGAACTGAATCGGGCAAGCAATATGGAGGACATGTACTCAGCTTCCATTTTCATTCAAGTGCATTACGGCTAGACTGAAGCGGCTCACTCCCCGGTGATAAGCAGCGTCCTTCTGGGGATTTCTCCAAACAACTCAGCACATGTGAACTGTAATGGAAACGCAGCCATTCTTTGGTCTAAAAGATAACCAAATTCACTGATAAAAAAGAGCCGAGCTTAAGGAAGTGGATCAAGATGCCAGGCATTGCTGGTCTTTCATCGCTAATGCTAATATTGTCATGACCTTGGTTTCATATCACAGAACACGCACCTGTCAGTGCTAAAGGCAATCGGGCAATGGTTTCACTAGCTATGAGGGTGGTATGCACCCGGTTTTGCGCTGGGGAAAGCTACAGAGCTGCTTGTAGGTCGCTCCCATGTATTCAATTTGCATTATTCGAAAGGGCGGCTCGCGAGCATCTACATTAGTGATGTGTTGTCATGGTGACGGCAGGGGGATACCTCCTTGTGCTCGTGGTCTTTCGGGATCCCGAGAGAAGCTGCGCACTACATTCTATATCACCGTAACTTCCAGCCTCTTGTTCCACCCAGGCGCTAATTTCTTACTGCGACTGAATGCATACACTGAACAACAAATTTAACAAGGTATACGTACAGCAACCCGTTTTAAAAATGATGCACGTCTTGCCTTGGTGCGTCATGATAAGCATTCATTATTCACCATGTGATTCAATTCGGTCATTCTTGTCCTGTATTTAAAAACTAATTAAAGCTGAAATGGTTTGCTGAATACTGGAAGCTGAAGATACTCTCTGGACTAACCAAACAATTTTCACAGTATGTCAAGTAGTCGTCCAGTTTTATATTAATATTTACTGATTAAATTTAGTATATTTACCTAGAATAAAGAATTATAATAATGAATAATGATACAAAGAATTATATGATACAGCATGGTGTGGGAGTAACAATATAAGAACCAGAAATATTATAGATGTATAAATACTATGTGTACAAACCAAGCATCATTTATTCTGTTACTCCACGGCATGATTTTCATGCCACCCTGCACTTTGTCAAGAAACATGCCAGAACTGTCGACACTAAAACAGAAGTCTGAATCAATTTTATTCTCACCAAATCTCATTTAACACAGTCATAATTCACTGTAATGGTTCTTCCCATAACAACTTATTCAGCATAATAAGGGCTTGTTCTGTTTTTTTTCTGAGACCAATGCATAAAGGGCTGGTTATAGAAAATATTTAAATCAATGAATCTGGGTCTCACCATTAATATGATTCTATACAACTTGAGTCGCACACATTCTCCAGGGTAGCATTTTGAGAACGGATGGGAAAACACAGTGATTAATACCTAGTCATCTGGAACATAACTATGTATGCCAAAGAATATAAGAAATATTTTAGTAACAATGTATATGTAAAATAATCAATATAATACTCGACGTCAACTTCGGGCTTTGGTGCACCAAGTGACCGTCACGTCACGGAAAAGAAACTGTTTACCACCCCCCTGCCCCGCCTGCACCCAAAGGAGCGACGTCCAAATCGACACCCTGCAATGATTGGGCATTTCGGACGTCAATCACACTTTTCTCCGCCCCCTCTGAATGCGCTCTTATGCTGTTCCATTGGCTTTCATGCACATTTCTTGCAAAGTGGAGGACTGTAATTTATGAAAGCAAACTCGAAGACGTCAAGTACAGTTCGCGCACTTGTGACACAATGACAAGGCACAGAAGCTGAGCATTCAAAAGTCTTCCAAAAGGGCATTATTTTATTTTTCGCAGCTGTCCAGTTGGTTTTGCAGTCAGTGCTTTTCATCGTATCGAAAGACACAGTAAACTGAATTACAGTAGCTCTTTTATATTGAACACAAGCGTTTTTGTCCTAACGGGACTAACACTTCCAGGGAACAGGACGGAAGCGGACATTCCGGAAAAATACCCAATCAGAGGTAGCCTCCTGCAGGCTAGGTAACTGAACTTTTGGCTTTATTTCTGTTTGACAGCTACCGGGTTGACATCCTAAGTTTGTTCCCTAATCGGCATTGAACTGAGTTACATCAAACTGGCCGCGCGGGCAGCGACCGGTTACTTAGCAACTGTCAGTGGCTCACGGACGGCGGTCGCGAGGTCCTCCGCGACTGTGGTAGCTACCTGCCGATATCTACCTTGACTAATTAATACATAATTAATAATCGGCCTACCTTCGCACTGCTTTACCCATTATGGCTAAACGATTAAACTGCGTGATTTATCGTAGCCATCGAACGATCTTGTACAGTGGTCGGGTGATACAGACTTAGCTCGTGCTGGCAAACTTGTTCACGTTGTCAGTTTATATTTCATGAATTTATTTTTCTTCAGTTGCTTGGTGTTAACTGGCAGATATTTAACTGTATGAAAGTATAAAATATAGCTCAAGGGTAAGGTGCTGTATTAATAAGGGTGAAGAAGTTGCTGTAAATATGGTTTAGGAGTATCAGGCACCCAGTAATGCTTTAAATATACGGGTGTAGAGCTAGTCAGCTTTGTACGGTGACTTTCATTAACGGCATCGCGGCCCCCGAGAATCAGTGCTGCCGCCTGGACTTAGACATTAATGCATGAGGCACGGCTTTCTAATGATACCGCTTAACGTCCTCACTTCGTGACGGGCCGGTTAGCCAAGCAGTACGGCAGCAAGCGGTGCATTTGCAATTAAATCGGCACCTCAGCATCTCCGAAACAGATCCCCTGCTTTGCAGCTAATTAATTACACCCTGATTAAAGTTATCTGATGCTGCAAAAGAGACACTTTCCCTTTTCCTTTTCAAGATAAATATAGAACGAGTACGTGGTGGTACGTGGTAGAGTAATTTAATGGACCAGTTAACATTTATAATTAGGGATATTTTGGTCTGGGCAGGACGAAGAAACAAATATATTGAGCACGTGTCTCCCTCGTATACCTTCGTTGTAATTCTAAACAATAGCTTAGGAAGATGTGTTTATTCCAGACCAGATTTTAAAGGAAATAAAACATAGTACTATTCAGGGGCTGGCTAGATTTTTCCATTTACATCATTACTTGTCTCCATGGTAACTGATTGTGCAAATGGGATTTGTCCTATATTAGTTTGATTTTTAGTTTAAGCAATACAAAACAAATGTTCCAGATTTACATTCAAAATGATTTAAAATCTGTCCACTGACATCCAATGTACTGTGATATATTACGCAATAACAAATTGCATTTTATGAATAGGAAGGTGTTTTGATTCTAGGGCTGGCTGTTATCTCCTTACAGATTTCCTGAGAGTAGGTGTGTGTTTCTGCACAGTGCAGAGTCCTAAAGTTCCATTTTAAGAACAAATTTGGTTATTTTCCCAGATAACCCACACAAAATTTACAGTGGATTAGTAAATCTTCATAGATACATATGTCTTGAAAAGCTGACTAATGGAAATAGCAGTTGCCAGGGAATGCTTTTATTCTTCTGGCATGTTGCATAATTAATATCATCTGTGGTGTGTTGTGAATAGCTATAACTGATATCCATGAAAACAGATTTGTAGCTTGTTAGTCTTACAAGATGGTGGGGTGAACGGTGAGGCTCGATATTTCAGATTGTACCACACCACTGGAAAACATGTTATAGCAAAACAGCAGGTACCTGGACCCAGCAAAGAACATTTGGGCCATAAAGACTCTACTTTCTGCTTCTTCACTATTCTCAATAAACCTCCTTACATGAGATACTTTATCATATAAGATTTATCTATGGTATGAAGAGAATATATTTAGCACTGAAATGTGCAATCAGCCTGTTCAGTGGTTACATACAGTACAGTGTGTATGCCAGGCAAGATGTTATGGAAATAGAATATATATGAAATCTTTAATTGTAAAAATAATTGCCTTTTTATTTTTTTTACTATTTTAGGACAGCAGTTGTTGGCAATGGAAAGCCAGTTACCATTTAAAATCATGCTCCTCATTGAATAATCCACCCTTAGGATGTTTGTAGTTACGTAATACTGCTTATATTGCATTATGCGACTCAATTTCCCCATTTCCAGTCATGCCCTTGCGTAATTTTAATTTTACATGGGCCGATACTTACCCTTGAACCACAGCTGCCCAGGTTATCCAGACTTGCACTGAACTTCAGTGACAAGCAGAGAAACCACCAATTAACACTAAGAACTCAGCGAAAGACTAGGTTTCTCTCCAACTACTGTTTCCATGGACACAGACTGGAGGAGAAAAACTAGTTAGATAATCGGCCTTGGGATGGTGATTCTTTTCACTTAATGTGTCAGAAGTTTAGTCAGTTGTTACTCTGTAAATACATATGTTTTTGTAAGATTCTCCTTATAACACCCCCTGACCTCTTTGGCTGTATGTGTTAACACCCAACACTGAAACATCAGTTACTCAGCATATCATCATAGATTGTGACAACATACATAGTAAGAGTTGTGGTTTGCATGGTTTTTTTTCTGATTGTGCTTTCTTTTTATAGCAGTAGTAAGAAGTTTTGGGAAGTGGATTTTTTAAAAGCAGCATTTTTGGAGTCGAGGGGGCCGTTTTGTTTGTTATAAGGCAGCTGGACACAGGAAGCATCATAAGGGGAGCAAATAGTGTAATGGTTTGCAAGGTTTGCAAGCAGAATGATAATAATTCTCAAGCAGTTTTCTGGAAACCCTCTAATTACCTGACAAAACAATCTCATTGATATGCAGAGACTGCAGAGCGCTTGCCATACAATCATGCTAAGCACCCCTATAAATCTGCCTCAAACCAGCTGCCTGTCTGGTGGCGTGGTATGCAGAGAAGGAAGCTGACTGTGAAAAGGACGGTCATTGTTGGCTGTGGTGAATAATGCAGCATTGTCTGTGTGTACAGATCTCTTAGATGGATCGATGCCTCTGCCTTATTAAACTCCTACTGTGGCTCGCAAAATGTGTGTGTTATTTTGCCAAATGTGCTTTTAAGAATGAGCATTCCTTTAAAGGGAGATCAACTTTTTGTCAGACTACTACGGGATATAATATAGTGGCTTGAATCGTTTGTGTGTCTGATCCTGTTGGTCTGATTTGCCTTCGTGTTGCCATTGCAAAAAGAACAGGGGGCAACTTGCTCATTAAGGAACTAAAGGAGAGCAATAGCTTGCAGACTTTGTCTATGGATCTTAGTTTTAGGAGTGACTTGTCCAACCTCAGTAACTTATCAATATAAATGCATCTTATATCATGATTATTTAACTGTTGTAAAATAAGTGTATTATCTATCATTATATTAATATATATCAGATAATAGAACATTTGTAAAAACTAGCCTTAATAGCTAATTATTTAAATAATCAGTTGACCTAATCTTGGAGCCCGAGGCAATAATGGAAGAAGGACATTGGTGTGATACCAGCATACACACAGATTAGTAAAGATAAATTAATAAGATGAGACAAGATAAACTTGATTGATCCCAGGGAGGAATTCTTGATGAATGATGATGATGATGATGATGATGATGAATCAAATTACAGAAATATTTCATGAACCTATACTAACTCTAGTAACACAGATATTTATTTAGATTAAAGGGCTTTGGGTCATTTATGTTTTCGTTAGGCATTTGGGTTTAAGTCACATGGTGCTGAGGATCGTGTTTTGACTGTTGTAAATTATTGAATGCTTCTGCTGGGTGGGGGGGGGGTTATTAATTTATTTAAGTCCACTCAGCACATAGCGAAACTGGTTAAGAAATCAATTATGTTGCTCGTGGCAAGAAAAGCATTATTCAGATTGCAGATTTTTAACTTTTACTTTATACAGTTCCGTTTTTAACATGTCAGTAGTCATTTTGCCCAGTAATATGTCTCACACAATGTTTTAGCAGCGACTTGTTGTGGTGCATACAAACAGGGTAGGTCAGGAGTAGGGAACCTGATCCATGGAGAGCCGGTGCGGGTTTTTGGGATAACCTCTTAATCACCCAATAATAAAGCAGTGGTTCTCAACTCCAGTCCTGGGGAGCCTCTGTTATTGGCTGATTGAGAGGTCATCCCAAAAACCTGCACCCACACCGGCCCTCCATGGATCAGGCTCCCCACCCCTGGGCTAGGTAATAGTCCTCTGTGATGATTTTTTTTTGTAACACTGCCCGCTAAACTAGCAACAAAAAAAAAGTTTTCATGAAGCACAGGGAAGGTTTTTCGTCCACATTTCAGTTTTGCCCCGTTGTGCAATGTATTTTGGAAACGAATGGACAATGACTTGTTTGATAACCCCTGAAAGTAGTGCTTGGAGAAGTGTGCTTGGGCTTGCATGAAATATTAATAAAGTAAAGGCTACAAGTTTTGTTTTATTATTTGTTTTTGTCAAGTTTTGTAACGATTGTATAACCTCGTGAATTGCAATCATTCATATAAATGACAAATGCATTTTTCCATTTATTTGCTTTCCTCTGACTTGATGTTTGTCAGAGTGCCCAAAATCTATTTTATTTTATTGTGACATGGATGTCGTCCCAGTGGTTTTTCTTGACAGGTTAACTAGACAATACTGGGGAATCACCTGGCATTGCATTCTGTGTTTTATTGTGCATTCAGCCAGGTAATTGAATGTGCTCTATTGAGGAAATAAAAAATGTTCAGTGCATTCAACCCAGAAAGGCAGTGAAATGGAGCCTTGGTGACTCATAATCTTTAATGGGGCTGCTCTCTTTGGTTCAGTGAGGCTTATTGACTGGCATGCTTCAGCTGGAAATTGAGAAGCACTCTTTAAAAAATTAAAATTATGCTTCTTCAAAGCGTCACGGCCTGGAAATTTTTATTGCCTCAACAATAAAAACAAAAACAGAAGCAGGGAACCAAGAGTAGAAAACTTCAAAGCACATCTGCTTCCTTAAAAAACATGAGCAATACTTCCTCAGAAACTGAAAGCTTACAGTTTAATTTCAGCACAGCAGTAAGAAAAGCTGAATTGTAG